ATGCTCACCTCACCCCAAATTTTGGTATCATCAGCGAATTTAAACAGGTTGCATTTCACCCTATTGTCCAAATCACTGATGAAGAAATTGAACAGCACAGGCCCAAAGACCGAGCCCTGGGGGACTCCGCTGCCCACCTCCCCCCCAGGCTGAATATTCCCTACCTCTGTTCAATCTGCTTCTGTATCTAACCTCTTCCTCTACCTTCTGCTTCCTGCCTTATCTGCTGCTGTGCTGCCTGTCCCCTCCGTGGTCTGCCATGTGCCACACACAGAGGCTTCCTGTGCCACTTGTACCACATGTTGGCCACCGTGGACAAACTGTACCTACATCAAAGTGTAAGCACAAGTACCTGACAGCTAGAACACAGTCTAATCCTGATTAAGGATTTCAGAGATATTAAATCAGATAGGATGGAATATATAATAAAGTCACAGAGAAGACTTTCTATGGTTTTCTTCTACACCTTAACATAAAGACTAAAAAGGTGAAGAGACGAGATCTTGGTCAGGGAGGAAACCAGCTGAAAGCTCTTAGACCAACAGTTGTAAAACTAACATAAAACTTCCCTTCAGACTAATCTTATTTAAAAAAAGAATTGGGAGCAGAAGGGGATGGAAAACAAATGTAAAGCTTTGTCTGAGATTTACAGGAAGACCCACTAAGCATATGAAAGGACAACACATTCTTCTGTTAGTCACTTCAAAAGGGATGATCATTACACTGAAAAAAAACAAGGCCCCATTGAGCCCAAACATATACCATTCATCTCTTCAAGGACAAGTTCTGGAGAGCTCATGTAATACAAATCACAAAGTGTCTTCGCATTTTCATAGCCATCTATAATATATCAAAGCAGAAACAAGTTAAAGAAAATGAGCATTTCCACCACACACTTTTCCCAGTTATAGTTTTCTGATAAGTTGGTCAGCGAAAATGAAAGATTTTATGAACTGCATTGCAGATGGTTCATTATTTTCTATCCAAAAATGAAATACAAGTAGAACTGCCAAAACATGACATTTGAACTAAAATTTTCTGTCCCAGCTAAGGGAGAAATTAAATACCTGCTTTATGTTAGTTCACACTCTATAGATTTTCAAGTACCTTTTCAAAATTCTTGTTCAGCAGGTCTGCTGGAATTTACCTTTAATAACTCCTACAACATCACAGTTGGGATTAATGCTTCCAATGTGTTTTGGGTGAGCTGGATTAACTTTAATTTTTCCACCAAAAAGCAAAGCTGCCAAATAAAAAACAATAGCATTTAATAACAAACATAAAAAAAAAGTAAAAACCATTAAATTACTTCTTCAGCAGTGCTGTATGGAAAAGAACAAACATTCTATAAATCCCTCTTTGGCATTCCTTAAAAAAAAGAGGGGGATGGGACGGTTGATGAACTTGACAGTGCATTTGTATGTGTGTGCTCATTTGTTGATAAATAGATCAGGAAGTTGTAGTATGTAGTAGTACTTATTTAAGTAAACAACAAATAGTTAACAAATAAAAAAAAAACAAAAAAAATACAGGCACCTTCAATTTGACTCCTCCCGGCCCCTTTAAACAGTAGCACTTACAATGTTGATTAAGGAGCATTCTAATTGATATGCGACTCATGTAGAAACGATCCAAAAAGTACTGCACATTCTGGGAGGTTACTGGATCAATACCAAAGCTCTCCTTGTACTCAACTACACCCTGAGCCATAGTAGGGATTACATCATTATGTCGATTCCGGATTTTGATCACAGTATCTGTAAAACTAAAATCAATGCATGGTCAATTTTTTTTCTTTACTTTCAAGTGAATTCAAAGTTCATTCAATAAACCAGATTCTCACTAAAGATCAAAACTTACTGCCCCAACTAATGAAGGATCAGCTGCACTTGATAAAGCAGAATTAAGATCACATGTATCCGAGTGATTCACAACCCACTTAATCTGCAGCAGGTTGCCAAATTAAAATGAACTGTTCAACTGTTTGCTGTGGCTTTCACTTCAAAGGGCACTTTTTCTCCAGACTTCTTGTATTAACAGTAATGTCCCTCTAAAATCAAGGGAAGCGATTTTTCTGCTATACTGAGCACTGGCGAGGCCTCATCTCTAATACTCTGTCCAGTTCTGGGCCCCATGCTTCAAGTTGTGGACAGATTAGAAAAAGTCTAACACAGCACAGGAAAAATAATTAGAGACCTGCAAACCATGAGGAAAGGCTGAAAGAGCTAGGGTTACAGTCTGGAAAACTGATGTCTGAGAGGGGATTTAGTAAGAGTCTTCAATTACCTGAAGGGCAGCTATAAAGGGGATGGAGATAAAAAAGTATTTGTGGCTGTAGGGGACAGGACAGGACAGGACAGGACTAGGAGCAAGGGCCTCAAACAGCAGAGGTAATACAGGTTGGAGATTAGGAAGAACTTTCTGACTACAAGGGTGGTCACCTGTAGGAACAAGCTACCTAGAGAAGTTGCAGAATCTCCATCTCTGGAAACTGTCAAGAGTAGGTTAGACAGCCACTTGACTGGGGTGGTTTAAAACCAAGGGTGATCCTGCCTCAAGCAAGGGGCTGGGCTAGATGACCTCATGAGGTTCCTTACAGCACTACTTTCCTGTGATCAGCTGGAGCTCATCAGCAGTCCTATGCAGCAAACTGGAAAAGTGACATCCTCTGAAGTAAAAGTAGCAGCAAACAGCTGGAGCATGTCAGTAGTGCCGTACAGTTGTTTGCTATGACTATGTATGGGTTAACCTTCACTTTGCAGAAGGGCAAAGGACCTAACCTTATGAAAGATATGGGTTTGATTGTATTCACATAAATGATGCCCTTTATTGAAAAGGTCATTAGAAGTGCAATGCATAACAGTAGTTTTTCAGAGGTAGAGATCATCCTTAAAAACTGAAGCGGGAACAGTAACTTTTGCTTTGATTGCTATCTGGCATCTAATATACAGACACTGATACACTGAGGTGCCATTTCCTAACTCACACCATATGTTCCATCTTACACCTTTTCAATTTCTTTAGTTTTAAGTAGCAGTTCCAAGATCAGAATTTGAATTTGGTCAAATCAAATAAGCAAAAGGTAATGCCTTCCCCTCCCCACCTCCTTGATTTAGTGAAAGTCTGTAGCTCTTATTATTCTTCTATCCCTTACTAAAATGTCAAAAACGTTAAAGAGCTTTCTTGATTTGAAATTTCTTGTTGCCAGGACTTACACATACACACAAACACATATACACACATACATATTGGAATTAAAAATACACTTACCTATGAATAGTTTCTGAATCTTCTGCATTTTTGTCCTTGAAGTCAAGGATCTCCTGAAGACTCTGATCATACCTTAAAAAAATGAAGTTCTGGATGATAAATTTTTGTCCACACGGATCCTCCATTTTGCGAAGATACTAATGCTTAACACCTCTTAGCTCTGAAGAAGGAAAAATGCCATAGCCTCAAAATAGTCATCCTACTGTTTAAAAGGCGCTAACATTCTCAGGCCCTATTTTCAGATACTGTCAGCTTCCTAAATAGCTTTATGCTGCATGCACTCCTGCTTGTTTTTGGCCAAAATTAAGTCTCTTTTTACTTTATTGAAGTTTGAGCATTCAAATGGATAAGCAAAGTATTAACTCACGATCATATATTTTAAAAAGTGGTTTTCTATATTTGAAAAAATATATTCATATTTTCCTTCTCTATTTTGAGTACTTAATTTTAAAATTTAAAATACATGCAATTCTCAGGAAAAGGTTGTAATAGTTTCAGCACAGTATATGCTGTTTACCTTGCAACTTAAAATGCTGTATTTTCTCACACACAGCATGCCCCAGAATATAATGTGCACCTTGTGTTTAAAAGGCAGAATGAAGAAAAAAAGATTTTTCCAGTTATGGCTGCATAAAGCAGGGACAGAGACTACTTTTCAGCTGGCCCTCCCTCCTTTTCCTGATTAACTAAAGCTGATGCCTTAGGTCAGGGGCCGGCAATTATTCTGCGAAGAGGGCCGCTTACCCAGTTTTGGCAAGCTGTCGAGGACTGCATGGGTACCTCCGCCCCTTGACAGGTGCCCCACCCCCTGGTCACCATCTTGGGACCAATGTCCCAGGGCCAGCACTAGTGGGCCCCAAAGCAGGGTGCAGGCTGGCAGGAGCTATGGAGCCAGGCTGGGCTGCACCAGCAGGGAGAGAGGGGAGCTGGCCCGGCTCCACAGAGCCCCTGCCAGCTGGGAACCTGTACACCTGCTGCCCTACCCTGGGCCCGGCTGACACCGGTGTGGGCCCCATGCTCCCACTCGCTCTCAGTGCCCCCAGTACAGGCAGGGGACAGTTATAAACACTATCATTATCTCCAAATTCATTCACTTTATTCAAAAAAGGCTTCTCAGCAATTTCACTTTCACCTTTCTAAAGGTCCTGACTTGAATTACCCTGGCACCAGTGAAGACAGAGAATTAACTCAAACCAACTAAAGCAGTGGACTAATGGGAGCTCACATTCAGGCCCAAAACAATTTACTGGGTTCACTAGATAAAGGTGCTACAATATTTGCTAGAAAAGGGTTCTCAGCCATAGGTTCCTTGTTGGTATCACACACATTCCTTAACTGTTGTTCACAAAGAAATATATTTTTCATTTTAGCTCTGCCTCATGCAAACTTGGTGCAACTGTCATCCCACTTTTAAATTTTGGTATTAGTTAGAATAGCTGACTCACAATATTAGAATTACAGGCCATGACTGTTACATTAAAAAACAATTCATTCTTCATTCTGAACTCTCTCCACTATTAGCCATTCATGCCTCCTTAACTCTGGGCCCTTAGCCTCGTATTTGACTGCTAGCCCATGAGACCTAAGCTTTTAGCCGGAAAAAATGCTCTTCAGCGCTACACTGAGCCAAAATAGCCCATTCACGCCAGTTATATCCTGCCCATCACAAGCACAACTCTCCACACACACTCTTCCTTCTTCCACTAAATTTATCCAGGGAGAGATAAAAACATTTCTCATAGGACCAATCACAGAGTTAAAGCAACAAAGTTTAGTCAGCCCGAAGGCTGACACAAGTAAGACTAAACCTGACCCTTCTGTCAGAAAGCTATGGTTCCCAGGTAGATATTTCTTTAGGATTGTGTTTGTAAAGGTAGGCAGTTTTCAGTCATTTGAAAGGAATGACTGCCCTCATGCAAGCCTCAAAATATAAACAGGCTTCTGTCTTAAACAGTGGTGGAGAAAAAACTAACGCACTTCCCTGAGTGCTTAGCAGGGCAAGAGATTGCAACCATAAGTCGTGACAAAGACTGAATGCATACACAGGTATAATAAAATGATGTGGGCTTGCTCTCTCCACGCAAAATAACACTGCTGTATCCCCTCACATTTAAATTGGCAATCGCCATTTCTACATTGCATTCAGAGTTCCAGCACACTGTACACATGCCTGCGATCCTGCGGAGACGGGTTACAAGCTGGTGCGGAGAGTAGGGGGAAAAAGCGGCCCCTCCCCCACCCTGCAGCTGGCATTCCGTAGCAGCCGCTCCCAGCCTGCCTGGAGCTGCCTGTGCCTGCTCAGGACAGCCCCACCAGGCTGCGAGCAGCTGCAGCAGAAAGCACTGGCCACGGGACGGGTGAGGGGCCACTTTTCCCCGGGCTCAGTTTTTTCCCAGGGTCCCGCCCCCCGCTTACCTGAGGTTCCGGCTGGGGCAGCTACATGGTCCCCGGCCAGAAGTCCCTGCTGGGGCTTCTGGCTGGGGGGGCAGGACGGAGCTGTTGCAGAAGCCCACTGGGCTTCCCCTGGGTCCTACTGCCCTTGGTTCCTGTTATTTTTTACAGGAACCAAAGACAGATAAATATTAATTTTCTAAATTTTTTTAGACGCCCCACGAGCTGGATAGAATAGCCTCATGGGTCGGATGCAGCCCACGGGCCATATTTTGCCCACCCCTGCCTTAGGTGTTTGTGAAAACTGGTCTCCATGTGTGGATCTATGGTTTTGAAACAAGCTAATCTAGAGCTATGAAATAGGAGAAGAGAGATCAGGAGCATATAGCAGGCCAGAAAATTGCCCTAAGAAAGGTTATCTTGACCATTAAAAAGGAGAGATGATTGTTAATATCTGTAAGTGAAGAACAATGAGCCACTAAGACTACTAACTCTCTCAGCTGCTTGAATAGTAATACTGCAGCTGCTGCACCGCGGAGCAGAAATCAAAGCCAGGAACTTCTATCCTGGGCAGAAAATCAGTTTCTCTGCTTAATAATACACAACCCAATTTTGCAAAAGGTTCGTGTTGTATGTGGGAAACCTGGTATCCATTAGACACGGTATTCTAGTTCAGATCAAGAAAGCTACAGGATCCTCAAAAAGAACAGAAAATGAGGAAAATACAGAGGATCTCTGAGATCACTTCTGTTCTGTGGAGGTAAGAGGATAGAAGATTGTAAACTGTTAGCCATCTAAGTAGTGTTATATACTGTACAGGGTTCCGATCTTGTAGAACAGAGGATTGAATGATTTGACGGCTTCTGCCTTAACAGAAGGTGAGCTGAAAGTAGTTAACGTTTAAAATTAGCATCTGAAGTGAGGGAAACACTCTACACAGACCCAAAGTGGCACGAGTAATAAGAATCAAGCGATACCGGGGGGTGGGGAATCTGTTACGTATATGCCAGTACTAGATGAGCAAGAAAACCAACAAGAATCTGATAATGAAATTAATTAACTCAAATGAAAACGTAAAAACAAAACAAAACAGGCCTGGAATGTTAAAAAAAAAAAAAGCAACTGGATATACGCCACTTAAGAGAGGAAAGAAAGGCAAGGAGCAACTCTAAATCAAAAACAGGTAAGTTCAAAGAACAGTACCTGGAACAATCAAGAATTAATAACCCAACTAATAAATGAGAAGGGGTTATTAGGTGTGGAGTATATCAGAATCCTCTCCCAAAACTGGGGGGGGGGAGGAAACAGGATGAGTATTTGTTCACCCAAGTCCTAGATGACTTCAACAGGATGACTTTAACCCTTCCCCGAAATAATTAAATTCTATACATGGAAAATTATAAATTTGTTCCGAATTTGTTACAATTTTCCTTGTACAGAAGCTAATTATTGGGGGGCCATCTTAAATTCATGCCCCCGCTGCTGCAGCAGAGAAAACAGTGGCAAGGGATGAGTGGCCTAACCCCCATCCCTTGCACCCCACAGAACATGCCCCCTGTGGCGTCTCCCCCCCAACCACTTGTCCCTCCAGAGTGTCTTCCTTTCCCTCTGCCACCTGGGCCACTTGCCACCCTGGCACCTGACCCCCCCACACTGGCTGTTGGCTCTGTCCCTTCACGAGCCATTATTTACTCCATGCAGCAGCTCAGGTTCTGCCTCCAGCCAGGCAATGGCAGTGGCAGCAGCAACAGCAGCTCACCTGCCTCTGTGCAGTCTCCCCCATGCTCCTCTCAGGCCACACACTGCACAGTCTCTCCCCTACTGGCACCATGTGGTCTCCCTTGTGCTTCCCCCACACCTCTCTGAGCCCTGCACCACATGGCCTACCCTGCACCTGCACTCTCCATGTCAAAGGTGGGGGTGGGGACTCATCTTGGATGTAAGTAAATATGGTAGTACTTTTAACCTACAACCTGTAACATGAAGGAAGAAATTGCTTTATGATGAGGGACTCTGTTCTCAAGGACCCATGTCAAAAGTCTCATGTTGCTACTAGTGAAACATGCTCAGAATTCCAACACCTAGGTGATATATTTTTAACATATGTTGCACACAAATTGGAAGTAAAATTCTCTGTGCACTGGACCTCACTCTGATGGATAAGGATAGACTGACCACTGAACTGAAAACTGACAGTCTCCTTGGTGCAAGCAATCACAGCCTAATTCTAGTAATGTGCAAACAGAAGTGTTGCTATGAGTAACATGTACTTGAAGCTTTAAAAGGGCCAAAGTTCAAAAAAAACCAAAACCCTGAAAGTTCAATGAGTGGAATGAAGGGTAGCACAAAAATAAGTAATAACTGAATGAGAACCTTCTAGACACTTGAACACAAACAAAACACGTTTTTTATTTAACACCATTCTAGTTAAGATAAAGCAAAGTTGCATTTTTTAAAAAAACATCATCAAAACAGGGAAGCTAAAAGCAGCAGTGGGCAACTGATACTAGGCAAAATAACAGGTAGCTGATAAGAGACTCCATCATTAAACAACAGTACCATAAGTGGCAACCAACCTGCTTTTACACAGAACAGATCTTGTCAAATTATGAACCAATTTAATACAAAAAAAATGAAAAGAGACATAATGTATATAACCTATAAGACATCTGACTTAAGCCTACATCATGATGTTATAAAACATTTACTACAATGAATCAATATAACCCCTATCAAATGTATATATAATAAACTGGCTAGTGGATCATAAGCTAACTTGGGTGTTTCAGATGAGGTCCTACAATGATCTATTGTTGGCCTAGAGCTGGTCAGCATGCCAAACTGAAAGAAACTGACACTGACAAAGATTACAGATGACATATATTGGCCCAGGAGCACATAAAGAGAAAAGCCAGTGATATAGGCTCCTCTGAATTACTCCCCAAGGTTGGCTCACTTGAACAACATGACTTTCAACAATTAAATGCAAGATCATACATTCAGGAGCAAACAATATAGGTTATGCTGCGGGGCTGTATCCTTGAATGAAATAACAATTAAAAGGTGTTTGAAGTACTGGCAGATAACCAGTCAAACTAAAAGAGTGAAACCGACTAACCATTTGTATATTCTAAGAAAGAAAATGTACATGTCATGAACTAGCAACCAAATACTCAAAATTCTCAATCAAATATAGGCTGGTATATAAGGGCGTGTGTATTCAAAACAGGGGCCCTAAATTGAAGCAGTGGGTTTTAAAAAACACAGCTTCAATTTAGGGCTGATTAAACCCGTGTCATGTACACATCCTGCTGACACCTGCCTCTCCAGTGTGGAGGGGAAGAAGAGCCGCTGGTGAGCGGAGCAGTCCCTGGGCTGGGTAGGGGCTGGTGCTTCCCTCCGCAGCAGCAAGGACCCCCCACAGGCACCCGGCCCGGGAGGCACCACAGCCGCAGAGGGAGGCATGCAGATCAAGCAGGCAGGTAGGTCCTGGGGATGGGGGGGGGGAGCGGGGGGGTGTGCAAAATTCAGGCTCACTGCTTTTCTTGGGCAGAGGTTGCTTTCCTGGGCTGCTGCCAGGCTGCCTGAAGAGCTTCCTGAAGAGCCATGGAGCCGCACGGAGCCTTGAAGTCGTTTTAGTTTGCTGCACCCCAAGTCATTTAAGGTGCATGACGCTGCCAAATTTCCCACAGCAGCTGGAATTAATACACAATACACTGCCAATGCGTGCAAACACCAACACCATTAAAGTAGTGCAAAAGCATTTAGCCCACTTTAAAGTGTTGTGCACACACGCCTCTCGTTTCATCTACACACGGCCCAAGTTTAAAATTTTGTACTTAGTAGTGGGTGTGTCTACACGTGCATTGATGTGCTTTAGTTAATGCACATTATATCTAGTACTACTATTGCGAGGTACTAGGAATGTGCATTATACTGTCTTAATGTGCATTAACTAAACAGCACATTTTTAAGTGACACTTAATGCATATTAGCCTATTTTAATGCACATTAACTAAATAGCATGATTTTTTTTAGGGCTCCTATACACCTGCGGGGAGCTTGCTCCAACACACTAGAGATCCAGTGCATCAGAGCAGACTCAATTAATCAAGTCTGCTGGAGCATGGAAACTGACACGCTCCAGCAGCCTTTCGCATTATGTGTATCATTGCCCCCGTACATCTCCGCACTGAAAAAATGGTGGTAGGGCATTTTGAAATAAAACACATTAGATGAGCTTTAGTTCAAAGTGCCTTGCTGACATTTTTTCAGTGCAAGGACACATAGGGGGACACTGATATGTGACACATGGGCCCTTTTAATTAGTGCAGCTCACTAATTAATGTGCCCACCACAACACCCCACAGCACATGTAAAAATGCCTGTAGTGAGGCTTTAATGCACATTAAAATTGGCTAATGCACATGTATAGACGCACCCATTCTCTCTGTTAAATTCTAAATTATTTTATTCAGAATAAATTGTGTAATGATACCACAAGCACCACAAGGAGTTTTTTTTCCCCTATAAAATCATTGATTTATTCATTTCACTTAATATTAATTGCAAAGGAAACTCTTAAAAGATAATATAACAAACAAAGCAGTTCTCACCAGCTCTGCACTAGCTGAACTGAAGGTGTTCTTAAAAGGTTGTCTGGAAGCAGACTTATTTCTTTCATTATATTTGCCAATCTTACAGGTAACTCTTGACGTAAAAACATAAATGAAGTCTTTTCACAAGCATTTTCTGATCCTAAGTCAAAAAAATATGTGGGAGAAAAAAATAAGAGCAAAGTTAACACCTGTGGTTAACACACAGAAAAATCTATTTATCTGCACACACTTTTGCAGTCTCATCTCAACACTAAATCAGGATCAGATGGTAACTAGTTGGTCAGGCACCCTGTTTATTTTTTTGCAGTCACAGGGAGCCTGTTTTTTTTCTGTATAAAAAAAAAATCACAAATTCTCTGATTTTAAAAAGCACAAATTGTATATACATTTTTTGTCAATTCTGATTAAAACCCCCAAAATCTGCATTTTTCCACAATTAAAATGAAATGCCACTAGATGTATAGGTATCAGTTGACCACAATGTTTTATTGATATATTTACAATTTTAAAGAAATTTGGAAGCCTACCAGTGCCTCAATTGGTATAATGGGAGCAGAGCAGAGCCCAGTTCCCCCTTCTCCACAGGCAGCATGGCTGGAGTGGCGGGGGCGGAGGGGAGAAGGGGTGGATGCAGGCTGGCTGGGGACTCAGGGCTCCCTGATGTGGTGCCCTCCCCCTGGGGCCTCCGCAGCCCAGTTGACAGGACCTAGCATGGCAGACCAGAGCACGGCCAGGCAAGGAGGTTCAATGCCACTGTCAGGCACCACACCACCATGGCGAGGCACCCCTTGCCCCCTGGCAGTAGCGGAGGGCACAACCCTGCACCTCCACACCTGCTGCTGAAACTTGGGTCTACTACAGTATGACTTGACACTTCCAAACTTATTTTGTGTGTGGTACTTTGTTTTCAAGTAGCAGGAAATGCCTTCCATTATCACTCTTGAACTGACAACACTGTTAAAAATTTGGTCTCCCATTGGTTGTTCCTATCAAAATAAACTGATGCTTAAGTCAGGTTTCTCTTTGATGCTTTGCTTCATTATAATGAAGATACAAAGCCCAGTTTGTATGAATACAGGAGAAAAAACTAACAAGGCAGTCCTTGTTTACTGTTCCAAGCCTCCTCTTAGTCAGCACTTAGCCCAAATCTTTGTCTATAATCTTCTCTCAAGGCCACATTTGCAGGGTGCTCAGACTGTCATGACTTTTGCTTGCTTGCTCTCTCACACCTCTCTAAAACAATAACCAGTTAAACTGTCTGTATGTTTTGTTGCTTTGGGCAGAGGCCACTACTGTTTCAGCTATCTACTTCTATAGAGAGAGGTGGCTCAGTCATGTTAGTCACAAGTCAGGTAGAAGATAGGGCAGTCTCTAAGATACCAACCTGCCCTAGTTTCTGCATGTTTCTATACAGGAGGTCAGCCACTTTTTCCCGATCCCAAATGGAGGATGGCTCCACTAGGGCTACAAACAGACATCACATTTGTCCCCAGAAAAAAACATTTTATCCCAGAACAAAGTTTCGTCATTCAAACAATCATATCTGTTGTCCCAAGACAAATCCTAACGAGGATCATGAGACAAGAAGTGCTGAAAGTTTGTCGCAGGACATCACAAAGTATCTCTGAACCTCCGGACTACATCACTGAGTCAATGGCAGAGAAGCAGCACTGCGTTGATCTGCTCATGAAACCCTGATTGAAAGAATGATGAGTGTGTGTGTTTATGCTGGTACTAGGACTTTTATTATCTGGCAGAAACATGGTCACAATGTGTCCTGGGACTAATGCAATGTCTGCTCCTAGCCTAAGTTCAACAAGGCTTAACATAATCATAACTCTTTAAAAATTGCAAAGAGGCAAGAATTCTTGTGGGTGATCTATTTTAATGGGCCAGCTGCCCAGCTGAAATAGATGTAGGCATATCACGGTACCCTTCCTCTGGCCTCTGGGAGGGAAGCAGACACAGCAGAGCTAAGTGGCAGACAGAACAAAAGCATGAGTGAAAAAAGATTGCTCAAGAGTGTTGTTATCACCAGTGAAGTGCAGAAGTTATCAAGTAGATTATAATGGGCCATGAAGTCACTATGTTAAATCCCTGGTGTACTTAGTACTTAGTGTCCAGACTTATTGAATTTAAGTTCTCAAGCTCATCTTATAAAAATGCTGGGCACATTAACTGCCATGCGATCTGCAGGACACAGATAAAGTTCCTCAAACAGACAAAGCCCTATGATTTGAATGCTTCCATTAGATCTTTTCATTATTATTATTTAAATTTTTCCATGTCCCAAGCCAAATCAATTCCAAATCTGTGAGTCAGTCCAGAACCATAAGTGGCCCTACAACCAGCAAACATCCTTGGCCCCCACCTGGGGCTTCAGATGTGCCTGTACCTAGGATGCCCACCAAAGGATTTGGGAACAAGCCCAGAACCTTGTGGTTTGGATGCCCCTTAGTTTCACTTGCCCTCAGCCATACAACCGCAGGAGCAAGCAGGGAGGAATGCTTCCATTAGATCTACTTGATGTTAAAAAAATAAAGATATCAAATCAAATCATCATCCAACTTATCCTCCCGTCTGGGGCCTATAGCAAAGGCACCCATCATGATGTTGTACTTGCTATTTCCTCCCTTTCCGTGTACCCAAAGCGCATCAACAGGTCTTCCACCCACGTCCCCCCACTCCTCTAAACAAGGGTGCATCCAGAGGCAGCCGTGTGCCCTCACCCACCAAGCCTAGGCTGCTGGATGCTTTGCTTGGTACAGCACGGCTTGCCATCGCTTCCCCAACCATGCAACTTCTGCTGCAGCTGGAGCCAGGCTGCCTGAAGCTGCAGGCTTTGTTGAGGACGGTTTTAGGAAGAGCTCAGGTTATGGATTTGTACAGGCCAGTCTGAACAGGGACGACCCCGCCATCCGTCCTCGGGCAGGGGTGGGACTAGGTGCCCGCTGGAGGAGCCCGCCAGCCCCATTTCTCCAGGACGCCGAGGACATTTTGGCAACTGAGAGGGCAGACACCCCTCAAGGCTGCTCCACACAAAGGCAGGGGCCTCCCCCTGCTCCCGCCTGGCAGTGAAGGCGCCCTCAGAGGGCAGGGCAGGGCAGGGCAGGGCAAAACACTGCTGCCCCACCTCGCCGAAGCAGGGAGGCCGCGCGGGAACCTGCCGGGGCCGGGGCTGTCCCTCCTAGCAGGGCACTCACCGAAGTCCAGGAACTGCTTCATGGAGAGGGGCGAGGGCGAGAAACGGGCGTAGAAGTCCACCTGCTGCGGCAGCCCAGCCGGCGACACGCAGCGCCGCAGCGCCCGC